AGGTCCTGCTCTCTGTATCCATCGAGAAGCATGCGCACGGGCGGGAGAGGTCATAGTATTGTTGTTACTAATCTAACAAACACCTTTTAAATTTGTTTAAAGCGAAAATGCAGACTATACAATTTCTGGCGTCCTACGTGCGCCAAAGCTCGTAAGAATTCATAATCTCAGGGAGTCATTTCCTTCGCGACAGTACAGTCAACGCCTATCACCCAGACACCGTCTGGCGATTCTTAACAACTGAACTCTGTTTGAACTACTCTCAGCGGAACAAAGGCATTCCTTTCACGCATACATCGCGCGTTCAAACATTGAACTTTGGATATCGATCGTTTCATATTGATTCAATGAATAGCATACGAATGACGCAACCACATTACTATGACTGAGCGTGCTCAAGGTGTGGAGAGATATTTAAAACTGAACACGGATATTCAATATAAACCATATATCAATAATTTTATAATAAATATTCTAAACGAAGTCTCTATAATGAAAAATACAAATATGACAAAATAAATAAAAAAAATCGAACAGCAAGTATCATTTCGTCTGTAAATAGTAAATCATTTAACCTTTCGTTAAGATGTAAATTAAAATCGTCAGCACCTCCGTTATAGTCTTTAATTAAAAGACCGTTGTAAGTTTTTTTAGGATTTAGAAAGAATATTGCGTTTCAAGGTGTCCGTATAACATTATTTGAATTTAGCGAGATTTTCTTCTGTCATTCGTCTAGATCCACGTTCGATGTGTTCCCAAGAGTCATAGAGCTTTGCACGTAGCTTCCGTTTCACGCACGGCCCACGGTCCACACCAACGGAAGCTTTGAATACCCCACGCAAATATGACGTGCACTACTGGAAAATTCCTTCAATGGGCTGGTTTAAAAACGTGACGTCACCTTGTTGCAATGTGTTACTATCATTCACATCCCCGCCATCTCCCCGTACATGCCGCCGCCATCTTTGAAATGACGTCACGTAATAAGTGGCGTCACTGTTCCGGTTTGTGGGGATCGCGTAACCATGACAACGTTGCTTGGATGAATTTCGGAGTCTGTATACTGGTGTTCTGCAATTTATTTTCCGTTTCCTTGACTTCTAATGCCTGTAAATAAAGCATGCACAGTAAAATTACGATAAGTATAAC